AACTCTTTGCAGATGTAATTAAGGTAGGAATCTTGAGATGAAGTTAACCTGGATTACCCACGTGGGCCCTAAATCCAATGACAAATGTCCTTATTAAGGACAGAAGAAAAGACAGAGAGGCTGTGAAGACAGAGGCCGGGGCTAGAGTGACACCAGCCACAAGCCTAGGAACGCCTGAGCCACCGGAAGCTGGAAGAGGCAAGGAAGGATTCTTCCCTAGAACCAGGAAGTGTGGCCCTGTCTTTGATTCTGAACTTCTGGCCTCCAGAACTGTGAGCGAACACACTTCTGTCCCAGTAAGCTGAGTTGGTGGTAACTGGTTACGACAGCCCTAGAAAACTAACACACTTGCTTTTTATAAATAGATGGACTCTAGTGTGTATACACTTCTGCTTCCTGTTTTTCTCCCATTTAAATCATAACCACTTTTTATGTCAGTACTTTTTTCCTCACGATCTTTTTTTTTTCTTTAAGTAAGCTCTACGCCCAACGTGGAGCTCGAACTCACAACCCCAAGATCAAGAGTCACATGCTCTACCAACTGAGCCAACCAGGCGCCCCTCTATTACTACTTTATAGCCCTAATTTTTAATGATTGCCCCTGTCCTCCCCACACCAAGGTCAGGGCTTATGCATTGTCTTCAGTTTACGTCTACAAAGGATCTTTCCTGGGGACATAGCTTTCTGGATGTCTTGCAAGGTGGATATCTATTCCCGACACCGTGCGTGAAGCCAACCGGAGCCCAGGGCCGAGCTGGCAGTGGAGAGCCCGGTCACTCACCCGCACATCCTGCTGCCTGGCTCTCACCTCCTCAAGCGCCCTCGAGGCACCGTTGATCTGGCTGTAGATGACAGTCAGCTTATGCTTCAGCTTGGTCTGCAGAGGAAACAACCAGCATGAGAACTCACCTCAGCCCAGCCCCCAACACCAGGGACTGGCCCTGGAATCTATCCCATAGGTGCTTCTGCGACCCCGAGTCTTGCCTGCCGGTAGCTTTTTGAAGCATTCGCCTATTTATTGCCTCCCTTCAAACTTCTAGAGCAACAGTACAAGAAAGAAGTTACAAGCATAGGATTTGGAGACAGACCAACTAGGGTACCAGCCCCTGTTCCCAGCTGTCCGAGCACCTGTCACCTGTGTCCTCGGCCAAGAAAGAGATACAGATGTTCCCACCTCCCAGGGCCAGTAGCAACGTGAGAAGTCAGCACAGTGCCTGGATTTTAGTAAGGACAAACCAAAGGTCAGCTTGTAGGATTAGGAGCTTCTTCATTAGCCCCCATTTTACAGACGATGAAACAGAGGCCAGGCGGCCAGCAAGGGGGCCGAGAACGAGCTGGAGGGGTTGCTTCAGTGATGGCAAATGAGGTCGTTCCAAGTCAGCCCTCCCCCTGCAAACAACCGCACAAGCAAACTGCTGGGAAGAAGAATCTGCTTCACGACAATGGAGAGCTAACTAAGCAGGGAAGGATGACAGCCAAGATCTGGAAGAAGGCAATCCAGAGAGGTAAGCCTGGCCTCTGGGGTTGCTCTCCCAGAACCATCTGCCGATTCCAGAAGACAGCTGGAAGAGTCACTGTCAACCTCGGGGAAGTAGGGGGACAAGAGAGTCCAAGGCTCCTTTGGCCCCCCGGGTGGGGACCTCCACAGGCTACACGCTAGGAATAAGGATGAACAAGCGGTAGCCCAGCCCCCCAACAGCTCAATCCCTGAAACTGAATTAAAGTGACTCAGAATTGCTAAGTCCCTAGCAACCTCCAGGAACCAAGGCCAATTACACACGAAGGAAGATAATACCATCCAAGGCCTCTTAGCATTTCTATAAATTTTCAGAATCAATATCGGGAGTGTCCTCCCTCCCTGCTCAGGTGAAATGCTGGGCCACAGAAATGGGGAGGGAAAAAAAACCCAGCACCAGAATAATAGCAGTTAGTGTTTCTTATATATGCACTGCAAGCCAGGCTTCACAGGTGTTAACTTACTTAAAGCGAAGAACAACACTATATAAGGTGGGAGTTACCTGTCCTTTATAAATAAGGACATCGAAGAACAGTCACATCACTGTTAACTGGTGTTACAAGGTCCCGGTGTTATAATTAAAGCACTGAGTACACAGGAAATGTCTAGGAAAAAACATTTACTTCCCCTAACCAGCTGGCTCAACACCCTCCAGCCTGCCCCCTCCACTTCCCTGCCTCTCCCACTCCACTAGAGATATCAGGTCTAAACTTGACCTTGAATCTGAATTTGAACAACCCAGTGACAGTCACATATAAGGGAATGGAAGCAGAGATCAAGGTCACACTAGCTTGACCCTGAAACCCCAAGTTACTGGTGATGTTTCATATTCAACCTCTGTGACAATGCCCTTCAACCTGGCCTCTTAAAAGTGGCCAAGATAAACTGTGGGCCAAAGGCAGAAGGCCAGGCCAAGGCAGATCTGGACTCACAGGCCTCGGAGCTGGAAGAGAACTCAGAACACCCGGGCACTGGGTTCCACCTCCAACAGCCGCGCTCAGCAGTGCACCCCAAAACTCTGTGTTTTGGAAAGTTTTATCCACCATTAATGAAATGTATATATGACAGTCCCCTGACGGCAGAGAGAGGGACCTATGTGGCTCCAGACAAAGGAAAGTGGCCCAGGGACTTCAAGAGAGGCAACAATCCCCTCATTGAGGGTAGAGAACTTTTTGAAGTTCTGAGGATCTGTTCACAGATTGGGGACTTGAGTCCTCCATGAGGACGTGGGAGGCACCGGAGTCCCGAGTCCACCCCGCACCACTGGCCAAGACAAGGCAGCCACCCAAGGCCGGGGCACTGCCCAGATACGGCTGGCTCTGTCCCAGTACGGAGGGGCAGCGGGGCTAGAAAGGGAGGCTGATCGAAGGACTTGGCAAGCCAGGACAATGGTGGGGACCAGGGAGGTGGCAAGGTCAGGCCTGTTACAAGGATTACAAAGCCCAGCGTGTACAACAAACAAGTACGCTGGGTGCAGACTCCAGCTCCAGGCCCCAGGCTGGGAGCCAGGTGTAGCTCCAGGCCAGGCTGAGAAGAACTCTCCGGCCCCTACTTGCCTTCTGCCTCCATGGATAAGAACTTCTAGAAGAGCCTTTTGACGGGAGCCAGCCGCCCGGTCCTCAGGGACAGGCCCAAGCACCCCGAGGCAAAGAAGATATGGGCAGCCTGACACCTCCGCCCCAGCAAGCTCTCTCCTACCCCAGCTGCTCAGAAATTACACCTGCAGTGCTTAGCACTCACCCAGCGAGGAAGCAGAGTCAGAATTCAAACCTAGGTCTCAACACCCAGGCCGAGGTCAGAGCCAACCAGCCATCTGACGCAGGGACCTGCCTATGAAGCACTTCCCACCTCATCCAAGCTCATCGCCCCGGAGCCTCCTGACCACCCTTGCAGATCAGGAGGAAATGCTATGAATCCCATTTTACAGATGAGGCAGCTGAGGCTTGGCGAATTGCAGTGACTTGGCATAAATAAACCACAGCTGACACGGAGCCATGTTCTGGCCCGAAAGGCTTGGCAGGTTCTTTAGGGAGGCAAGTGGAGACGCAGGTGACCGCGCCTGACATGGTTGTGCCTCAGGGGTCAACTCTCAGACACTGCCTTGAGGTCTGGCCTCTGAGACTCAGGGAAGAAGTCCTGAGGGACCCAGCTCAGATGGAGAAGCAGACGGGGCCCGGGAAGGGCTATGGCTGCTCAGGAGCAAGGCCTGCACCCTGGTCCTGGTGCTGCCGCAAACCTCAGCCAGGCCTCCTATCTCCTCCGACAACAGAACAGTCCTTGCTCTCCACGACAGGGCCTCGAGAATTAAAGGCAATCTGGCCACACTCTGGAGCTCAGGCTGATATAAAAAAGGTGGTCCCACTACACCTTTTCAGCCTCTGCCTTGAGTCCGCGAGGGAAGTTATGATCCCCCAAACCACTAACATCATCAGAGACCTGGAAGGCCCCTTAGGGAGCCACCTGGTCCCACCGCCTCGATTTACTGATGAAGACTCGGGCCCCGGGGCCAAATGCTGTGCTCGAAGTCGCACAGCCAGGGCGGAAGTCACTATGGCGCAAGACTTTGGTTCTGCCTGCGGGTAGTAGCCAGACCTATCTGGCACTCTGCCCACCCTTCTGCTCATAACAATCCTCCCTGGTCACTAGAACTCTGGCTCACCAAAAGTTTTTGCTCACATGACCTCAAGCCTCCTGGAATGTCCCATGCTCCATGAACTCGGATATCAGGCTGGTCATGGGGAAAAGCAGCAAACTGTAGAGTCGAACCAGCCGGGGTCCCAATGCCTGCTTAACCACCTACTGGGTTAGCTGAGGCTAAATTAACTTCTCTGGACCTCCATTTCCTCAACTGTAAAATGGACCTAATTATATCCACCTCTTGGATGCTGCCCAGATTTAATGAGGGAACAGAGGTAACCTCCAGGGCTCCTATCTGACGCCGAAAACCCTCGACTAAACACCATCAGACAAGTACGAGGCTCAAGGCAGGCAACTTCGTCTGTCTTCAGTGGGGGAAGAGGGTGGACCACGGATGACAGAGGAGGACTAGATGTTCTCCTTGCCCCTTTCTATTCGGACATCGGGGACGCCCCTGCCCCGGCTCTCAGGCCCAGCAAGGCCCACCCTCCTACCCCAGGTGGTCCGCGGTGGGCCACGATGCCCACGGCGGCTCCCTCCGCACCCCCCAGCCCAGACTGCCCCCCAGTGCCCGTGCCCTCGCCCGCCACCACCTACCTCCAGGTCGGCGCTGGCCTGGCTCAGGGACGCAGGCGAGCAGGCCTTGTGTTCCACCAGGCAGATGTGGCAGATGCACTCGTCATGCTGGGGGCAGAAAAAGTCCCGCAGCCGGTTGTGCTGGGGGCACTTGCGGCGCATCAGGTCCCGGACTGGGGCCTGCAGCTGGTGGTCCCGGAAGGCGGGGCTGTCGAAGTGCGGCTGCAGGTGCTCCTGGCAGAAGGAGGCCATGCACACCAGGCACGTCTTGACGGCGGGCTCCTTCAGGCAGTGGTCGCAGGCCACCGGGCCCGCCGGGCTGGGCGCGGCGGCGCGGGCGGGCGGCTTCCAGCCGTCGGGGGGCGGGGGCGCCGCCCGGGCCTGCTCGGCCTGCAGGAACTGCTCCACCACCGCGCACAGCACCGTGTTCTTGCGCAGCTGCGGCCGCGCGTGGTAGACGCCGCGGCACTGCGGACACAGATACGGCGGGCCCTGGACGGCCCACGTCTCGTCCAGGCACGAGCCGCAGAAGTTGTGGCCGCACGGGGTGGTGACCGGCACCTTGAAGGGCTCCAGGCAGATGGAGCACGACAGCTCCTCGGCCAGGGGGACCAGCTCCGCCATGGCGCTCCTGCGGGACGGGAAGGGACGCGCGCGGACGGCGGCCGCGGAAGACGAACGACCGCCTGAGGCCCGCGAGGAAACGAAACTGAGCGGCGGGCGGGGCGGGCCCCGC